CAAATGGACAACCTAAGTGGCTTCTTTCTCTTATTCCGGAATATCCATTGCTCAACTTCATGCTTACAACTGCCATTTACGTCTTGGTAATTAAATTCTCTATTGACATCTCAGTATTTTGCTAAAAGCCTTGATAATATTTCAGATTTGCATCATTCTCCAATGATTTGACTTGCGTTTGCAGGTATCTCATCGCATTTTTGAATTGACAAATACACTTAAGTCAACTTTCATATCAACAAAGGAAAATCGACGGCTGCTGTATAATTGTGTAGCTGGAGCAGTCATTTCACTGTGTTTATATTGTGTCTCACTCATTCTACTTCAGATTCCTCATTCACAAGTAAGCCCTTAATTTCAATCAAGATTTTGTTATTCATAAATGACCCAGAAACCTTCTTAGCTTGGGTTCATATGCATTAAAAATTGTCGATACTCATTATGCTTTCCATATGCATTAAATATTGTCGAAACTCATTATGTTTTCCTGAATGTAGTGATTCCATTCTCCAATTTACTTTTACAGGCCTGAGAAAAACAAGACTAAAAATTAGGATTACATTGATCTTTCACATTGGCCATTGGGCATACAAGAAAATATATAGTTGCACAATAAAGGGGACTTCAGACTTGGAAGCTCTTTCTGGAGATCTAGCTTATGAACCGAGTTCTTCCAGTAATTTCGAGTAATGTGGCCTCCAATTGTGTTCTCAAGCTGGAATTAGATTACAGGAGTTTAATGGAGGTCCGGCAAACGACAGGAAGTTTTTTCTTTTTCATTTTTTCATTTTTTTTTTTCATCCTCTTCTTGTAATATTGCAAATCGGAAAACATCATTTCTCTTCTCATTTTCCAGTCATTCTTTGAACAAAATGTAGATCCCTGTCACATGGGTTGTATCGTCTGGCATCAAACGAATTCAAGATTGAATACTAATTTGATTCATATGTTGTACCATACATGTTGCGACAAACTTGTATATCAAAATTGAAAGCTTTTTGCAATCTACCGATTAAATTTAATAAATAATTTATTAATTATGTGATTTATTTTAGTTTAGTATGCAAATAAATTTTTATTTCAAAATGATTATAAATTATCAATTTTGTTTCAAAATGATCTACTTAATAAACATATATTTGACTAAATTA